TCGTCCGGACGAACCTGGAGCAAAAACTGATATTACAGGGCTACCCACAATTTCATTTCCACCCAAGTTGTAGACCAGCTGGAAATAAAATTGGTGGACACAGGCTGTTACGGAGTGATGATGGGTACATGGAAGATAGAGAAAGGTCAGGGGATTTGCAGAGAAGTACGATTGATGATCCAGGGGATACAGGTGAGGGAGGACTTCCTTCCACTAGAGTTGGGGAGCACGGACGTCATCCTGGGGATGAAATGGCTGCAAACTTTGGGTGACACCAAGGTGAATTGGGGAGCACTCACAATGGAGTTGATGGTGGACGGAAGGATGGTAGTAATTAAGGGGGGCGCAGGGCTTTCCAAATCCCTAGTTTCTCTTAATGGCGAAAGATATCCAGTTAGCAGGCGGAGGATATTTAGTGGAATTGCAAAGTTTAGAGGGAGCAAAAGTGGAAGAAGGAAGAGGCATACCCCTCTCCATCCAGCCGTTGATCCAGCAGTTCCAAGAGGTGTTTCAGCCACCCCAGGGATTGCCACCGCTGAGGGAGCAGGAACATGCCATCGTAATGAAAGAGGGAGTGTCACCCATCAGTGTCCGACCTTACCGCTACCCTCAGTTCCAGAAAGATGAGATAGAGAGGTTGATTAGAGAAATGCTGGAGGCAGAGATCATCAGACCCAGCATCAGTCCTTTTTCTAGCCCAGTTCTGTTAGTAAAAAAGAAGGATGGCAACTGGCGCTTTTGTGTGGACTACAGAGCACTCAACAAGAAAACTGTCCCAGATAAGTTTCCTATACCTATCATTGATGAGCTACTAGCTGAACTCAGTGGAACCGTGATTTTCAGCAAGATAGATTTAAAATATAGTTACCACCAGATCCGAATGAAGGAGGATGTACCCAAAATGGCCTTTAGAACTCATGAAGGACATTATGAGTTCCTGGTGATGCCGTTTGGCCTTACCAATGCTCCAGCTACTTTTCAGGCCCTTATGAACAAGGTTTTCAAACCTTATCTCAGACGATTTGTACTAATATTCTTTGACGATATCCTAGTCTACATCAGGACAGAAGAGGAGCATTAGGAGCATTTGAAAAGGGTGTTAGAGGTACTATAGTAGCACCAGCTGAGGACTAACTTGAAGAAATGCTGCTTTGCAGAAGCAGTGTAGAATACTTGGGTCATGTGGTATCTAAAGGAGTTGCAGCAAATCAATCCAAAATTGAAGCTATGATAAGGTGGCCAGTGCCAAAAAATTTGAAAGAATTAAGGGGATTCCTAGAACTGACGGGTTACTACAGGAGGTTCGTAAAAGGGTATAGCTCCATAGCATGGCCACTCACGGAACAATTAAAGAAGGACGGGTTCCTTTGGGGAGAAGCAGCTACAACAGCATTTGAGAGCTTAAAGAAGGCAATGACTATGGTACCGGTCCTATCCTTGCCAGATTTCACTCAGACCTTTATTGTGGAGACAGATGCTTCAGGATACGGCAGCTAGGTGAAGTACTGATGCAGAGTCACAGACCCATTGCCTATTTTAGCCAGGTATTGACCACTAGAGCC